CTTGCAGAAACACGGTACTGCTTCCTGGTTAACATGTAAGGTGGCCTCGACTCCTCCGATAGTCCTTAGACCCTCCTGAGAAACCTCCAGTTATTTAATTAGGGCCCCACTCTCGTTGCCACCGAAGTAACTCCATAGAGGCCAGTATATCCTGTCATCAAGTCACCCTTCATTTACACATGCACAGTACATGGACTCTGACTAGCTAACTGAGAGTCAGCCCCTAGAGTGAAGAGAATTCCTGAGACTCCTGCTCACATCTTGTCAGCCAAGTTAATAGGACGGGCCAAAGGACTAAAACATAATGTTGACATTCGACAGCTGCATGCGAAAATAGACTGTACAGGACAGGAATATGGGCTGGGAAAGTTTAGGATGATACTCGACAAGCTGCATGACCTGAATGAGTCCTGCGAACATTCCTTCACAGGTCAAAAACAGGCAGCTTGAGGTTGCATTGACAGCAGTAGAACAGCGTAACATTATCCTAACAGAAGCAGTTAAAACAGCGCAGGAGAGAGCTGAGAAGGCAGAGGAGTAACAGAACCAGATAGTATGCCATTTGCGACAGTACAACAGAAAAAGAGATAAAGGATGGTTATTCATACAGGCTGCCATAAACGAGTGCTTGCGGGAAGCAGGCTTCCCCAAAAGCAAGGGCAGTGCACTGCAAATAGGATGGACATTGTTAACAGTTTTGATTTCTACATAAAGGGAATTGGAAGAGTGCCAGGCTGTACCAGCCAGCAGTTTTGTCTATTGTATTTGCTGTTTCCTGTGCTGGCTGTTTGTTACTGTATAAGAGACACTGAGTTTCGTTCCAAGTCGCTGGACTTCACCTCAGACCGGGATCGCGAACAGTGCCAGGAACAACCTCAGCCTCCAGACCATCCACCGATCGAGGGGTCCGGAATGGGCAGAACGGTGTAAGGCTTAATTGTTTTCCTCTCTTTTTCATTCTTTTTATTTACTTAATAAATGCCCCTTTTTTGACCTTTCATTATTACTCAATAAGTGTTCATATTTAAGCAAATTGCTATTATTGAGTTTTCTCTTAACTACATTTAACCGATCTGAAAAGAATCGCTTGGATACACCTGTGATCTAAGATCTTTTCGGTGACAAGGATGCCATTCTGTAAAATGTGCAAGAGAAGGGAAAAGCAACCTGATGCCCTGGAGACCTTCTGTATTCCAGGGTGGAATGCGGCAGACTCTGAATTTGGATCTGCACTTAACATGTTAGCAAAATTAGATTACCGAAAAAAAAAGGGGAACAGTTATAACTGAAAAAAGAGAACTGGAGACCAGGTTTCTGCACTGTGCAAGTGCACTGAACCTTATAGAAGTGTTAACTCTTTGTGGTGTGCTTTGAATGCACCTTTGTTTGTTGGTTGCTAAATATTGTCCTGTACAATTTGTCTTTTTGCTCCCTGGAGCTCAAGATCTGAGAATACTTTCAAGTTTTAGTTTGCATTTTGGGAATGTATGGTGTTTTGAAAGTGTGGTGTATGCCTGTGTTAGTGTGGGACATGTGTGGTTAATGTAGTTAATGGCCCTTTCAGTGGTTGTGTAAAGCAAACAAATTGCTGTTGTCCAACCTTCTCCAAACTACATTTAACCAAATCCAAAAAGAACCGCTTGGAAAAACTTTGTGATCCAAGACACCAGGACTCCCTGATTGGACCAGGTTAACAACCCCAATCAGGGAACTCACACTCAGTGAGATCTACCTAGTCAACCTTGTTCCAATCACTACACCAAACAACATGGAAAACTGCCCAGGGTAGTCCTTTTGACAAAAATCAGAACAAATTCAACCCAGCCAATTATCACTCCATCAGTCTACTCTCAATCATCAGTAAAGCGATGGAAGGTGCTGTCGACAGTGACATCAAGCAGCACCTGCTCAGCAATAATCTGCTCAGTGACGCCCAGCTGAATTCCACCAGGGCCATTCAGATCCGGACCTCATGACAGCCTTGGTTCAAACATGGACAAAAGATCTGAATTCCAGAGGTGAGATGAGAGTGACAGCCCTTGAGGAACACTTACAAAAATTGAATCAATGGGAATTGGGGGCAAACTCTCTGCAGATTGGAGTCATAGCTGAAACACAGAATGGTTGTGGTTGTTTGAGGTTTGTCATCTCATCTCCAGGACATCTCTGCAAAGATCCTCACGGTAGTGTTCTAGGTCAAACCATCTTCTGCTGTCTCATCAATGAATTTCCCTTCATCATATGGTTAGAAGTGGGATTGTTCACCAATGATTCACAATGTTTAGCACCATTCTTGACTCCTCAAATCCTGAAGCAGTCTATTTTCAAAAGCAACAAAGATCTGGACAATATCCAGGATTGGGCTGACAAGTGGCAAATAACATTTGCACCAATAAAATGCCAGGCAATGACCATCTTCAAGATGGTAGCAGAGTAGTACTCCTCAGCCAGAGCTCATCAGGGCCATTCGTTGTTTTTCTTCCTTGTTTCTACTGTCGTGTCTCTTTCCTTCTTTCTTCTTACTTCTCAACCTCGAGTGAAATCATCACGGACTCCTGGCCTTGAGGTAAATCCAGAGCCAATTTCTGGCCTTGGCCCGGCTTTGAGAGCATCTCGATGAAGTCCGGTGATGTCTGGATGCGAGGCTGGCATGGACTGAAGGCGAGGCCCAGTGCAGTCTCGAGGCTAGGTGCCCACAATGACTGGGTTGGAAGGACTGTTATTTTGAACATTTTATTTCTGTATCTTACTAATTTATTCCTATGATTTTGTACTTTTGTACCTAAGATGGCATGATAGTCTGAAATGCTGGACTTTTTATTTCTTTAATATTTTCCTAAGAATTTGTCCTTAAACACCTGTACCCAAGTACATTTGTACCTAAGAAGGCACCATAAGTAACAACTTGAGAACTTTTCACTGTATTCATGCAAGTACACGTGACAATAAAACTAATTCTAATCTCCAATCTAATCATCATCACTTGACATTAAACAGTGTTACCATCAACTGCAAACTCCCCTCCAGGATGCTCAATCCTGACTTAGAAATATGCTGTCGCTCTTTCGCTGTCACTGGGTCAAATTCCTGGAATTCTCTCTCTATGGGAATTTTGGAACAACCCACAACAGTGGTTCAACAAGGCAGTTCACCACTGTCTTCTCAAGGGCATCTCAGGATGGGCAATAAATGCAAGCCAGCCAGTGACATCCACGCTCACGAGTGAATAATAAGAAAATAGTGACTTTAACACTGACTGTGAATTGACTTTGAATTTAAACGTAATGTCTAAATACAAGTGTTGTACAGATTATTAAGATGAATTTTAACATTACCAAGTGATACGTGTGTGTAGGAAATCAAGGACAAAGTAAAACAAATCATTCTAAAGAAGTATACAAACAGAGAAACCTGGGGGTAAGAAAATGCACAAATCAGGCAAGTTGAAAAAGCACATATCAAAGTATTAAGGATTATGTGTTTTATACATAAAGAAATAGACTACAAAAGTAAGGTCATCATGACAAAACCTCCGTCATGAACTTGTTCAGCCTCAAATTTAATGGGTCCAATTGTGGGCCCCACAAAGCTTTCAAAACAGCAGAGAAAATATATACAAATTATTGGATTTTTTAATGAATTTGTGACACTGTTCATCCTTGGAACTGATGCATCACCTTCCCAACCCACGATCGTTTCCACCTTGAACAAGAGCAGCAGATAGAAGGGAGACACCGCGACCTGCAACCTGCTTGCTCCACCAGTAACACCCACAATAAAAAAAACGCAGACTGCAGAAAGGTAGGGCTGTTCCCCTTGAGAATACTGATAGGAAATTTATTAGAGGTGTTCAAAATGACAAGAAATCTGGACAGACGACACAGAAACTGTCCCAAGAATCTGTAAAATTATTATAAAACATAGAACCAAAGCGCATCAATTTGAGAGGATTGGCAATAGAAGCAAGGGACAGAACATTTCATTGTATAAGTGGTTGGGGCTGTAGATTAGTGATTAGATATTGGCGGCACGGTGGCTTAGTGGTCAGCATTGTTGCCTCACAGCGCCAGGGACCCAGGTTCGATTCCACGCTCGGGCAACTGTCTGTGCAGTTTGCACATTCTCCCCGTGTCTGCCTGGATTTCCTCTGGGTGCTCTGGTTTCCTCCCACATTCCAAAAATGTGCAGGCTAGGTGGACTGGCCATCCTAAATTACCCCACACTGTTGAGGGATGTGTAGATTAGGTGGGTTACGGGGGATGGGATGGTCTGAGGGTCGGTATGGACTTGTTGGGCCAAAGGGCCTGTTTCCAAACTGTAAGGATTCTATGATTTCTCACAATCATGTTGAATGGCATGCTCCTGCTCCTATTTTCTACGTTTCTTTGATTTGGAATGACATAGTGGAGGAGGTGGATTCAATCACAGATTATTACACAAAAAAAAATGATCCCTACAGTGTAGAAGCAGGCCATTCGGCCCATCCAGTGCAAGCTGAACCTCCGAACACCATCCCATCCAGACCCCCCGCCCCACCCCGCAACAAAACGTTGCATTTCCCATGGCTAGTCCACCAAGGCTGGACATCCCTCGATTCCCTGGACAATTTGACATGGCCTATCCACCTCACCTGCGTATCTGCAGTGTCAAAGGTAAAGACGGGGAGTGAGATTACTTCATTAAGAGGGAGCTGGAATGGACACAACGGGCCGAACGCCCTCGCTGGCTCCTATCACCCGTTCGTGGAGACGGCAGGAAGAGACCACCTGGCCGTTAGCCATGCACGTTGTCACCATCCCCTCCCCCACAGTCAGCCCCTTGCTAACAAACACATCAAATACATGCGCAGCAAGGCGCCGCGGCGTCTCCCGCCCAGAAAAAAAAACGTGGCGCACCACCCGACCCGTGAGAAAAAAACACGACGGCCGGAGAAAATATACTCGACAAAAGCACCCCGCGATCATAACGAAACATCCGGGATCGAAGTATTGGAAACTCACCTCGCTTCTCGCACGCCTGACGCCATTTTATTGCGAACACTGGGCACCTCCATCGACGAGCCAGCCTTCGAGAATGTTTGCCAGCAGCCGGTAAGTGTGCGCGTGCGCGAGCCGCCGGCGCCAATCTATTGACACCAATGCGCATGACTAATACCGGTGTTGGCACCAGTGCGCATGCGCAACCCTGCAGCCGACTTCAGTACGCACGCTCGAATCCGTTGTTGACACCAGCCCGCATGCGCCCGTCGCAACCTGTTCCACCCTTCCCTGCCTCCACGCCCCAGACCACACATGCGCAGCACAATTTGGCGGGATCTGCCCGCAGTGCTTCGTGTTTTCAGGGGATTCAGGCGCTTCCGAAGTTGACCACATCACCTCCGCTTCTGTTCGATATCTGCATATGGACTATAGACTGCCACTCACATGCACCACCGCCAACACATCCCTGAACGTTGTATAGTCTCCAGGAGGTAAAGGATTTATGGGGAAAACCCCCAAAGAACTGTGGGTGCTGGAAATCAGAAATAAAAACCAAAATTTCTGGAAAGCAAGCCTGGCAGCATCTGTGGGGAGAAAGCAGAGTAAACGTTTCAGGTCCAATGAGCCAAAAGTAGGGTTCTGATGAAGGAATCTCTTGAGTTTTCCCAGCAATTTCTGGTTTTGTTGAGGATTTGTGGAGGTTTTTTACAGCATGGAAAATGACCCTTTGACCTAATGTGTCAGCACCAGTCATAGAGTCATGAAACATCTAGAAATTCTAATCCCATTTTCCAGCACTCAGCATTGCATGCACTGGTGTTTCAACTGTTCGTCTAAATACCGCTTAAATTGTCTTAAAGGCACCTGCCTCTTATCGACTGTGTGTTCCAGATATCCAACATCCACTGGGTGAAAAAGGATTTCGCAAAACCCATCTGAATCTATTGCTTCTCACGTTAAAATTGTGCCCCCTTGTTATTAAACCTCTCCTAACGAGAAGGGTTTCTTCTTATTTACCACGCCCATGCTACTCGGGACTTTGTTTGCCTCAATCAGACCCCCAGCTCCAGCCTCCTCTGCTCTAATGAAAACAATGCCAACTTGTCTGGTCTCTCGTCATAACTGAATCACGCCAACTCAGGCAACATCCTTATGTCAGGATCAAATTAAAAACAATAACACAAACAGCCCAGAAGCAGAAGATGTGATTGGGAATGATTGACAAAAAAACCATGGAAGAAGTGTTCTTACACTATGTAGTCAAAATCTTTTTTATATCAATGAGATCACCCATCCTACACTTCAGGGAGGAGAGGTACTGTTTACACAACCTTTGATCTTATGTGCATCTGATCTTATATATCCATCTTCACTGAATTTTCTGTGTACCATAGCTATATCTTTATACATTGATTGCAAAATTTTTCTAAAACAAAATCTTCAATATGTGGGCATATTGGCTGTTTTAGCATTTATCGTCCAATCCTTTGTTCTCTTAAACTGAGGGGCTTTCTGGGACATTTTAGAGGGCACTTAACAGTCAAGCACATTGCTATCGATCTAGAGTCACATGTAGAATGGTAGATTTTCTTCCTTAAAGGACATGAGTGAAGCAAAAGATTATTTACAACAATCAATGCCCACATTAGACTAGCTTTTAATTAAACTCAAACTTACCATTTACCATGACGGATTCCAAACCCATATCCCCAAAACAATTGCCTGTAAATCTGGGTTACGAATTCAATGATATTACCATTACAACTACCACTTACTTGTGTGGTCTTACCAAAATTCTATACAATTGCAGCCAGGCTTCTTTGTTATTCTGTCCTAGTCCCCTTATAAAGGCAACATAGTATCTGCCTTCCTTTTTGTTTGCATGCTAAGTTTCTGTGATCCTTTCATGAAAATGTCCAAGACTTTGAACATTACAAAGGTTCACATATTTAAAGATTTCTGTTTTTATATTCACACAGTCAAAGTGAATAACCTCACATGTTCCCACACTATATCCTATCTCCCATCTTTGTGCCCATACACTTAACCTTTCTCTTTGTAACCTCATTGTTTCTTTCTCATATTTTGCATTACAACCTAATCTTGTACCACGAGCAGGTTTGGATGAATTGCTCTCTGTCTCTTTTCTTAAGTCATTGACATAAATTCTACATAGCTAAAGTTTCAACACCAATCCTTGCAGCATGTCACTAGTTATGGCTAGTCAAATTGAAAATTCCCCATTTATCCTGATATCAGTATTCATTGTCCTAACCAATCCTCCACCCATGTTATCCCAACTCCATGATCCCCTGTCTTGTATATTGATCTTTTCTGTGGCACTTTATCAAATGCATTTTGGAAATACAAGTATGTGACATCTACTATCTCCTTTTATCGACCCCACTAGTTATATCCTCAGAAACTTGGGGGTTCTAGTCCAGGATTATCTCAAGGTAATCTAGCAGGTTGAGTCAGTATTTAGGAAGGCGAATGTCTGTGGAGGAACAAATCTCTCAGTATTGGAATGTGATTGAATAAGATGCATTGTGAGATTCCAAGTACAGGTGATACAGGTGTCTTTTTTTTTCATTCATTCATGGGATGAGGGTGTCACTGGCTATGCTGACATTTTGCCTATCCCTAATTGCCCAGAGGGCAGTTAAGAGTCAGCCACATTGAGTACATTTAAGACTGAGATAGATAGTTTCTTGATTGTCAAGGGGATCAAGGGTTACAGGAAGAAAGCAAGGGAGGAAATGGCCTAGTGGTATTATTGCTGGACTGTTAATCCAGAGGCCTAGACAATGTTCTGGCAACCTAGGTTTGAATCCTGCCACGGCAGGTGATGGAATTTGAATTCAGTAAAAATATCTAGAATTAAGGATCTAATGATGCCTGTGAATCCATTGTTGATTGTCAAGAAAAACCCATCTACTTCACAAATGTCCTTTAGGGAAGGAAACTGCCATCTTTAGCTGGTTTGGCCTACATGTGACTCTAGACCCACAGCAATGTGATTGACTCTTAACTGCCCTATGGGCAATTAGGGATGGGCAATAAATGCTGCCTGTCAGTGATGCCCTGATCCTGTGAATGAATAAAGGAATAGGGTTGAGAAACTTGTCAGCCATGATTAAATGGCGGAGCAGACTCGATGGGCTGAATGGCCTAATTTCTGCTCCTATGTCTTTTGGTCTTTATAATAATTTTTTTAAACAGAATTTCCCGTTTGTAAAGCATGGAAACTGTTGGGTAACCCATGGCTGAGTATAACACAAAATGGCTGCCTGTGAACTTATTAGTTGACATAAAGATGGCAGAGGAGATTTTTTTAGCTGAATTAATGGCTTGTTTCGTTTGGTATTAAAGTGAGACTATAAGTTAGGACAGTTGTAGCTTTGTGGGTAGAATAAATTCATGGTAACAAGCACAAAGAATCTTACGCTGAATACACAAAAAGTCCTGTTGCGAACACACAGCTGCAGTTGTTTGTACAGAGACAGTTTGACACAAGAATAGCCTTGAGAGGATATGAAATATCTGGTAGCAGCCAGTCCAAAGTTGGTAGTTTAGCAGGGATTAAAGGAAGAGTATGATCCTGCAATAATCAAGACTCTTTAAGTAATTGTCATTACATATTAAACATGCCTATGTGGGTATTATGAAATTATAAATGCAACCTACAAACTAACATGAAGGGATTTATCTGACTTCTTATGAGCAGTCAACCCTAGCCAGTGAAGAGAAGCTCATACTAGGGAAGATGAAGTCATAAATGATGTAAACAGATAGTCTCTGAAAGAACACAGAGAAACAGATAACATGGCAGGGCTCAAAATAAACAATGGCAGCTTCAAAACTTAACAAACAGCCTAGATGCTGATGGAGATGGTTTGAGCAGATCAAGATCAAGGGGAGAATGGCAGAAATGAATTATAAGGTAAGAATCAGGATGAGGTCATGTCCCATTGTATCTTAAGAATCCAAATAGGTTTCTTTTAATGACCTGATAGAGCTGTGAAAGTGATTGAATTTAATTCTTCTCAATAGAATTTGAATAGATGCTATCTTATTTAGTGAAGAGAACTAGTATGAAAAGTATTTTGAGTAGAGACAGTGAGATTCATCCAAGAATCCAACTTCAGTTTAAAACCCAGTCACAGCATGTAAATGGAAAAAGTTGTAACTGCAGCTGCAGGACTATTTGTTTGATCTTCGAAGGTCAAGTGAGAGGGAAGCTGCTCCCCAACTTATCAACTTTGTCAAGCAATTATAACATTAGGTGTAACTATATAACTATATATAACTAACTTTCTGTTGGAACTAATATTACAAATTTTATAACAATTGGTAGAAATTAGCATCTGTGTTCCTTTTGTGTCCCTTGTAATAACATTAATAGGAAACAGAATTGGAAAACTCATCAGTGATAAGCAAGTATCCATTTTATTGGCAATTAACGTGATGCAGTGGGCAAATAAGACATAGGAGAAGTAATTAGGCCATTCAGCGCATCGAGTCTTCTCCGCCATTCAATCATGACTGATAAGTTTCTCAACCCTATTCTCCTGCTTTCTCCCCATAACCCTTGATCCCCTTGACAATCAAGAACCTATCTATCTCTGTCTTAAATATACTCAGTGACCTGGCCTCCACAGCCTTCTGTGGCAGTGAATTCCATAGATTAACCACTCTCTGGCTAAAGAAGTTTCTCCTTATCTTTGTTCTGAAAGGTCTTCCCTTTACTCTAAGGCTGTGTCCTTGGGCCCTAGTCTCTCCTACCAACGGAAGCACCTATCCAACATCCACTCTGTCCAGGCCATTCAATATTCTGTAAGTTTCAATTAGATCCCCCCTCTCCTTCTAAACTCCAATGAGTGTAGTCCCAGAGTCCTCAAACGTTCCTCGTATATTAAGCTTTTCATTCCTGGGACTATTCTCGTGAATCTCTGAACCCACTCCAGGGCCAGTACATCCTTCCTGAGATATGGGGCCTGAGTTATGGTTACAAGTTCACTGATATTACCATTACTGCTACTAACTTGTGCGGTCTTGCCAAAATTGTATACAATTGCAGCCAGGCTTCTTTGTTGTTCCGTTCTAGTCCCCTGAAAAAGGCAAACATAG